TGGATGGATGGATGGATGGATGGATGGATGGATGGATGGATGGATGGATGGATGGATGAAAGAAAGACACCATTCTACCTTGGGAGCATTCTTTTCGATAACCCTTTTGATTCCCACGGTCAGTTCCGCAAATGTTGGTCTCTGATCAGGAATTTTCCTCCAACAGTCTTTCATAATGTCATACATCTCTGCGGGGCAGTGTGACGGTCTTTCCATTCGATTGTCATTATTCAGAAAGTCTATAAGTCCCTCCAAGGGTACAGAAGGATACGGACAGCCCCCTAAAGTAAATATCTCCCATAACACGATACCAAATGACCACCTGAAAGACATCAAAAGACTTCTTATAAACTATGGATTTTTAAAAGTAGTTACGTTAATATGTCGGCTGGCATCAACCAGGTCTTCAGTTGGACGACAGGTAATGCGGGTAATACATCGCCAGATCTAGCTAGGTGTACGACATTGATGCCTTGTAAGTTGAGGAGAGACAAAAAAATATTCTTTTGGAAGAGACCGGCTTGTACCACAATCGCGCGCGTTCTTGCAGAAATTGTCTTTCCTCCTTAAAATTCCTGCAAGTTGCCAATTGCAAGTATGCCGATACACACATGCATCACCGCGCATTATCCTGCCTACTTACACATCACTCTTTTCTGTGTAGACCCGGTCAAACAAAGATTCCAAAGCCATCCACTTGACGGGCAGCAATCCACTGGTTGTTTTCACATAAAGGTCATCTTGATAGATGTCACGTGCTAAACCAAAATCCGAGATCTTCATGACGTAATTTTCTCCAACCAGGACGTTACGGGCTGCAAGGTCACGATGAACGCACTGGGAAAGAAAAGAATATCGATTGCTTTATTATTTGCTACAGGAGAGGGGTAAGAGGAAACAAAGTTCCGCTTACGAAGCCTATCTAACAACAACTGTGTTAATCCAAATGATTAAGGAATCAGTGTATGTCAGATTATGAATGCATTAACCTGTACACTTGCGGAACTATGGATCCTGAATTAGATATACCTTCTTAGAAGCCAAGAACTCCATGCCTCGCGATATCTGATAAGCTGTCATTCCTAAATCCACCAAAGTGAACTCCTGATCGGGATTATTCGAGGTTTTCACCCAGTTTGCATCGTAAATATCTCGTCTGGCACGAAGGAATGACAACAGGTTACCATGGGGAGCGTACTCGATGATCATCAACAGTCGACGACCACGTGTACAGGCACCAAGCACGTTGACAATATTCTTGTGTTCTTCGAGATGAATAAGTATCTTTAGTTCTGAGGCCAAGTCTTTGTAGTCACTCTCACTGGCTTCATCTGAAAAAATTAAGAATTATACTATTGTGAATAAGAAAGAAACTTAGAATAGGAATTACGGATTGTGTAYGCTTGTTCTTTCCAGCACTCGGTGTCATATGTGAGTAGAATTTCTAGTTGTTTCTCCCCTGAGCGCCGAGAAGTTTTCTCCGGGCATAGCAGAGAAAGTACAAGAGGATGCGTCCTAAAAACAGTAGGTAACGAAATCATGAAGCTACTCACCTAGAAGGGTTTTCACTGCCACCGTTTGTTTTGCCGTTACCGAGCTGTTCTGTTCGTCTTTACACCTGCGCCTTGAACTTCGTAGTTTTGATCGAAGTCTCCTTGCTTCAGCGGTTTTATCTCTGGGCTTGAAGGCTGGCATGCCGATGGCTTCTGCTTTCAATACCTGTCCAAACGCTCCAGAACCAAGAGGTTCGCCAAGAATAAGTCTCTCTTCGGGGAATTCCCAGTCAAGATCGTAGGGAAGGTTGTTACATTGTTCAAGAAGACTACGGTCTGGGTCAATCTGTAAGAAAAGAGCAGGAATGAAAAAGACAGAATCACTAAAATTTAAAACATACTTCCAAATTTCAAATTGATCTAGGAGCTAGCCTTGCCCTGACTTAGATCAGCCCAGAGGTTGTTTCAGGGTTCAATCTGTGAGTTAGCCATGCCCTGACTTAGATCAACCCAAAGGTTTTTTCAGGGTTCGATCTGTGAGTTAGCAGTGCCCTGACTTAGATCAGCCCAGAGGTTGTTTCAGGGTTCAATCTGTGAGTTAGCCATGCCCTGACTTAGATCAGCCCAGAGGTTGTTTCAGAGTTTGATAAAATTACTGCTTGTCGTTAAAACGCATATCTACTTCTTGGTACGTATTATGGCTGAACATTCAAATGAAAATAGAATATTCAGGAATACATACCACATAGTTTGTGTTTCCCATTTTCATGAAGTAAAGCAGTTTGTATTCTTTTGTTTGCTTTTGTTGACGTCGATATAGAATAAAGCAGATTATGACGACGATAAACGTAAACACCACAGATCCACAAATGATCCCGATAACAATTGATCTAGGCATCTCTTTTTGTACTAGTGTTATAACTTTTCCTTCCTTCGATTCTTTAAATAAGAAAAATACAAGTCAAAGCTATATTATCTTTGCCAGAAGAGCACCAAAAAAGACAGTCAGTCAGTCTGTCAGTCATTCAGTCAGTCAGTCATACCTTAGATTACCTTTGATAGTCAGTAGAGCAGTGACGGACATGATGGTATTCGTAGCATTACATGTGTAGTTTCCCAAGTCTTTTTCCTGCATATCTTTCACCTTCAGCAAAGCTTTCCCTTTACCACTTGACAGTACTTTCCTGTTGGGATCATCTGTTCTTGTCCAAACTACATCAGGCAGTGGATTACCAGTAGCGCTACATGTTACGTTGATTGAGGTTCCCAGAACCACAGTAATTACTTGGTGCCTTTGGCTTGAAATTTTTGGTGGGACTTAAAAAGACATTAGAATTGTATGAATAACAAAAAAAAGGCATCATCAACAAAAACACCATTATCACCACCATCAACAATATCATCACCATGTATCATCACCAACAATATCATCACCATGTACCACCAACAACAACAATATCATCACCATGTATCATCACCAACAATATCATCACCATGTACCACCAACAACAACAATATCATCACCATGTATCATCACCAACAACAATATCATCACCATGTATCATCATCATCAACAATATCATCACCATGTATCATCA